TCTTGCTCAGGCTGGTTTCGAACTCCTGAGCTCAAACGATCCGCCCGCCTCGGCCTCCCAGAGTGCTAGGATTACAGGTGTGAGCCACCGCGCCCGGCCCTTTCAAAGGGTTTTTAAGAAATGTTATTGTGAGGTCATACTCCTAGTAATAATTACTGAATTATTGGCTTAATGTCTCGTGTCCTTTTTCTTAAAACAGTTCAATCTGGTGACCCCTATACATATCCAAAACTACCATAAGTTGGGGTTGCCTTGGGCTAATGGGTCTTGTCCTCAAGCGGCACCATTTTGTTCTACATAAAGTAGTTGAGACCACCCCCCTAATAAGAGATAAGTCTCAAGGACTGGAGTGTAAGGTGATGCCTCCTTTTTGGAAACAAGAGCCTCTCAAATTGGGCCTAGATGGCACTTCTCCAGCCCTCCATTTCCAGCTCTATAAAATGGGACAATCACAGTACCTACCTCCTAAGGTGATCATGAGGACTGCATCGTGCCTGCAGAGCATGGAGGTACACACACTCAGCGAAGGCCATCTGCTGTCATTGTCACAGTCAGTGCTGTCTGCTATCATTCTATGGCTCATTAGTACCAGGCCTCCTGACTGCTAGTCTCATCCTCTTTCTCTCATGTGATGACTTTAACACTGTCTCTGTTTTCTTGCATGCAGATTGTAAGTTGATCTCCTTTGACTAGTTATCAAGTTACCTTTGGATATATTGACTTTATATAGCAGTTCTTTCTATATTGATTGTGATCCTCTCTTTTCCAGTTTTATTGCTTTGCTCTTTGTAGCAATTTTATTACATTTTTGTTGTACAAGCTTTTAATTCTTATATATCCAAGCATTCATTTTTGTCCACTAAGTCTTAACTTTCATTGCTTCCGTAGTTAGATATGATGACATTTTCTTCTAGAATTTTAATTACAAATGAAAAGTTGAGACCCCTGCCCATCGGAGGGTGGATGCACCAGATGGGCAGGCCAGATGGGAATGGGCCAGAGAAGCAGGCTCTTCCCTCATCTGAGATGCAGACTCTGTGTAATCTGTGGGCAGCACTTGACTATCCAACCTGGCCGCTCAGGCACGCTGGAGATGCTTCCATCACAGATTGGCCAGAGCACTCTGACTGTCCATCAGTATAGCCTCAGCAACCAGGAGCAGGGCTTGGCCTCACCTAGCTCAGTGGGGTGGTCCAAACTTGGTCTGGCAGCAGCCTGGCCGTCCCTTAAGCTCCTGGGAGCCTTGGCAGTACCCAGTGTGGATTCAGTGACTGAGCAGCAAATCCACCCAAGAGACATCTTGGACACAGAAGACACGCCTGACTTATGTCACGTGGACCACATCCTCCTCCCAGCCAATGACTCTACAACTAGGAAGAGATCTGTTCTGTGGCTTCTGCTTTGGGCAACTAGGGGGCAATTCACCCACGTGTTCTGGAGTCACTTCCTGCCACCACACCTAAGAGGGGCAACAGAGCAGAGGCTCAGAGAGGAGCCACGCCCCTCTGGTGGCCTATGCATCATGCTGACAGAAGCTGGCCGTACCAGGCCTCGGCTTTGACTTGCAGCAGCCATGCCCAGGAGGGGCACTAAAGCAAAGGTTTAGAGGATAGCGATGCCCTTCTGACAGCCTGCGTGGCATAGAATAGGAGCTGGTCATCCTCGGGCTGGGCTGTCATTTCCAGCATCCTCCTCCAGGAGGAACAGCTACAAGGGCTGGCAAGGAACCTGGTCCTTCCAGTGGCCTACAGAGGCTACAGATAGAAGCTGGCCACACCAGGGCTATGTTGTGACTTCCCGGCACTCTGCAGAGGCCTAGAGAGGAAGTGTGCCCTCCTGATGGGCCCACCAGGCTCAGCGCCAGCCACAACCCAGAAGGGCTTCTCAGGCCCCCTTCCTTGGAAGCAAGGTACGACAATGACCCTGGTGACCTCGGCCAGGAGGTCCTCACAAATGGTCCCCCAGGCCACCACAGTGGCCCTGTGCAACATCTCCATCCTGACCTCCAGGCTGGAGAGAATCCAACAGCACTTGTTACATAGCTATTTCTTTTGTTCCTTGGGCCTCAGTTCTTGCAGTAGTTGTGAATCTTTGTCTGAAGTCACTACTTTCTTCTCTGATCAGTTTTCTCTTTTCAAACTGTTCTGATGTGTTTTGTACAGCTGTCATTTGGCAGTGAATGTTGGCATCTACCAGGGACACGTCTGGCACCTTTACCTAGAAGATCTCTGCCATTTCTTGCCCGTTCACTCATTATTTCTCGAGTTTTACAAAGGATCCCGTTGAAGTCTAGGTACAGCATTAACTCGGAACGTAGCACAGTCATCACTGCTTCCAGCCAGGACACGATGTCTTGGCATCCCTTCCTGCCCTCCCTGACCTTTCCCCATTTCTGGTTTTATGATTTTCTCTCAAACAAATCCTCTTTTAGAGTTAACCCTAAAGATCGCGTCTTTCCTGTCACGGTCGACGAACAGCTGCTCATGGTGTTTGCGGTGGAATCTGCTCTCTTCGAACGCAGTCTGTGGCTTTAACGTGTGTCCTGTAGTTTTGCTGAGTTTATTTGTTGCCTCTGGTAACGTGGGGGTGGATTTTCTTGGATCCTCTAGGTATACTGCTACGGCAGGTACGAAATGTGACCCCGCTTCCTGTCGTGTGTTCGTCTGTGCATTTGTGTATCTACCTCATTGCATTTTTCCTTCTAATCACACGTGTTCCTGTCGCGATGCCAGCTCCCACCAGAGTTGGGTTCTTGTCTTACCGAATTAAGAAAGCCTCCATTGATTTTATTAGAGTTTTGAATACTTGCTGAAATTTTCAAAAGAAAGTAATTGTTTACCATTTTTGCTGCTTATTATGATTATTAATAACTGTGTCGATTAGTTGTGTCATCCCCACTCTTGCATTTCCAGAATAATCCCCCGCCCAGTCGCAGTGGCATCTTTCTCTCATGGTATCACAGTCCACGTGCTTGATTTTGTACTAGAAGTGGCACGGCACCTGCCCTGCCCACCACCCGGGCTGTGGCCCTGTTGGGTACCATGTGACTTGCCACTCCTCTTCTAGGCCACATTAATGAAACCAGAATGGAACACCTGACCCAAGGGCATCAGCCAGTCATCGGAGCTGGCAGGAGACAAACTGGGCCTTTCAGGTCTGTGCAGTGCAAACAAGGGAACGGCAGCTTCTCATTGGTGTTGGAAGATGGAGGGCGCCACACGGTACTGAGAGGAGGTGAACATCGTGGGCTCCTGCTGGGCCCCCTGGGGTTGGTGCGATCCCAGCACCCCAAGGGAGGCCTGGCAGGGCCGTGTTCCTGGGCTTCTGGCAACTGCCCTCATCAGTACACATGTACGCCCACCACAGACCCCCTTGCGTTTTACCATTTGGCTGCTTCCAGAGAAGAATCCCAATGCTGGCTTTCCTCATCGTCTCACTGGCCGTTGTGAACACCTGTTAAAATGTGGTACCGTATTCTGTTCGCTAAGATGGGTGAAATCTATGCCTTCTAGTCTCAGTGAGTTTCACCAGTGCTTTTCTGTCTGGGTGTTGTTCCTTTACTCAACCCACATTGGGCCTATAAAATGAGTTCAATCACAGCCCGCCCACCCTGTGCTCTATTTCGGAAGCATTTCACCATCCTGGCACATCATCAGGTGGGGAAGTGATAACTTCTCTCTTACTAGTATACGTACTTTCTGTAGTTCTCATTGCATCTGTTTGGGTGTTTACTTTCGAAAATAGAAACTGTCTCTGTAAACTTGGCCCTCAATGTGATTTGCATATCTCTGAGAACAGTAGCTAAGTCCCGCCCCAAGTCGTATTTTGGTTGTTGGTGATCTTTTCTTGTTCCTCCTTGATCTCCCTTGTCTGTTTTATGGCACTCATGCTCAGCCTTGCACTAGAGCTGTCTGTGGACTTGGCTTCCCCCCTCCCCTCCCCTCCCCACCCTCCCCCACACGTTAGATTGTCAGCTCTTAGAAGACAGGGGTGGCCCTTCATGTCTGATCCCCTGCCAAATCTAGCACAGTGCCTTGCATCAAGTAGACTTCAATAAATACATGTTAAATGGCATTGGTCTCCTTAACTTCTTTTGTCAACACCTCATTTATCAGTTCTTCCCTCTCTCCTTTCTCCATGCCATGGAGTTCTGTACTTGTCCTTACACTTGGAGAACTGCCCCCTCCTGGGGTCAGTGTGCTATCTCAGTCCCTGCTGGGCTCGGTTAGCCTGGTGCTGGCTGCACACCTAGAGGGTGGAGGAGGTACTCTGATGGGGCTAGGCAGGTGTGCCTGGAACTCTCCCCCCACCTCAGCTAGGGCTCCC